CTCTGCCCCCCACATACATTTATTCAGGGCTGCAGACGGTCTGCTCCCAGAGCGAGAGCTTCCCACGGGCCCTGCACGGGCACACATGAAGGGAGGGGGAGGGGGAGGAAGAGGAGGAGGGGAGGGGGAGCACAGATACACGTTTGTGCCCTAAAAACGCTGGAATGAGCTCCACTCGTGGTTCACTGCTCGTCTGACTGGAGACACAAACAGGAAGCAAACTTAAAGGAAGTCTCTGCCTCATCGCTGGCTTGCCGTTAATTAATCCTCCTCTTCCTCCTCCTCCTCCTCCACCCATCACAGGCTCCGAGGCTGGCTGAGCAGCAGAATTAAGAGAGGAGAAGAAGATGAATGAGCGTGGAAGCGGGCGAGCTGCAGCCGTGTGGAGTGCACAATAACCGGGGTGACAGTCATGTGTGGGAATAACAACACACTGATTTCCATATTTACACAGATATGCAAACACACACAATGTTAATTTGATCCCTGAGACGTCGTCATAATTAGAGTATAAATTAGCTTCGTTTCTTACTGGACAAGAGGTGCTAATTCATTCGCTCGGCCCGCTGGGGCGGCTGCATCGGGCCTCGCAGACGCTGCACACGAGCAATAACGTTTCCAAATACATTCGTGTTTGCACATAAATATTCAGAGCATATATGAAGCTCCAACAGTAAACACATCAGAAGCATCCAGCAGCATTTTACTCAACCAACAAGCTCTCTGCCTGCAGCAGCGCAGCAGGCACCGTAAGTACTCAGGGGGGCTGGGACCGCCGCTGCCCCCGGGGTGCTCCATATTACCTATGCTAATGCCAATCAGGCACAATTACTCCAGCAATCAGGCAGACCGAGGCGCTGACCCGGCAGCCCAGCATCGCTGCGCTGTGATGTTTGAGTCCTGCCGTGAATCTGCTGCTCACGGAGCCTCGGCACCAAGGATCGCTTCGCTCAAACAAGAAATCCGCTGAACCGGAGGCAAGACGGCGAGTCTCTCCCAGAACGTCCCTCCATAAACCAATAAACATGCGAAGAAACAAATCCCGACAGGGGGGCAAAAAGAGACGGAAACAGGAAGCAGTGACGGGATACGTTTCCCTGTTAGGCTTTGACTGGATTGTAATTTGTTGGTAATTATTCCATAATGAGGGATAACTCAGCCACAGTGACAGATTAGCCGTGATTCTTCACGGGATCTTTGAATCTTAAACATCTGCAAACCAGATGTTGGTTCAGATTCAGTGTGAGGTAATAAAGATGGAGAGCCAGCCTGACTGTGATGACATCATGAATCAGACAGGTACAGGAAGACGGGTATCCTGTTTTCCTTCTCTCTCCCCAACCAATCACAGCAGATGGCCCCGCCCCTCCCTGAGCCTGGTTCTGCTGGAGGTTTCTTCCTGTTAAAAGGGAGTTTTTCCTTCCCACTGTCGCCAAAGTGCTGCTCATAGGGGGTCATATGACTGTTGGGTGTTTCTCTGTGTGTATCAATGTCGGGTCGACCTTACAGTATAAATCACCTTGAGGCGACTGTTGTTGTGATTTGGCGCTGTGTAAATAAAATTGAATAAAGAACATTTTCAAAATCTTCAAATCAGTTTAAATTACATGTAAATATATTCTACATACATTTTTAGTGACTGTTTCATATCAAATATTTGTAATCCATGTTAAACTCATTTCAGTGTCAGTTATCGTTCAGGTCCTGCTCTCAGGAAACATCGGCACAAACAGCTGAAACTGTTCTTACAAAAAGTTCAACTTTATTTTATTTTTTGACTCTTTTTGCATGAAAACGACTGAAACTCATAATTAACGACGTGAACACTTCAGAATGTGTCACAGGCGGAGAGAACAGCGCCGGCGCCACAATCAGAGCCTGAGTATGTTTCAGACTTCAGGTGACCCTCGAGCACTGAGACGGGACCACGGTGGGATTTATCTCCTGCCGTGAAACAGGAAGTCGGACAACACTTGAAGGCCATCCACGCCAGACCGACTGAGACACCAAACAAAGCGCACACTGAACACAAACGACTGACTTCTGTTCAACTTCATCACATTAGAGATGATCATACAAACGGCTGCCCTGAAGGCCCCGCATTAACAACTCCATGTGTATCCTGATGTTAGCCTAAACCTGCTTGTTGCTAACGGTTTCATATGCACTGATGAAACAGACTGTATGATGTCATAAATATGGATTGAAGACAGACGCCTAAACCAGCAATCCTTCCCACGAACACCAGGGGGCGATGTCTGTGGACGCGTGTGAGGAGGACACAGACCCGATGACTGTATGAGCTCGGCCTCTTGTTTCAGCTCATACTGAATAAAACGTGGAGTTTGGCCACGCCAAGGCTCAGACAGGACGCACTCATTGGTTCCTGACCTGTGATTGACAGCTCATTAACCAATAGGTGAGCGCTTTCTGTTTGAGTGCCTCTGACGGCCCAAACCAACCACAGCTCACATTTATTATTGGGGGTCTAATAATGAAGTGACGCGCTTCACTGGAAGGACTGAGACTTCCTGTCCAAAGCTGACAGACACAGGACAGATGTGTGTCCAACAGCTGGGACGTCCACAGTCCACTGCTAACATTCGCTCGTGCAAAGAAGCACTGCAGGTACACAAACTGTAAAATCCACCAAATCAGAGCGTGTTTGTTTTCAGCTGTTTAATGAGCCGCTCTCGTCGCTCTCAGAGCTCATTCCCTCGTCACTTTGATTTAATTCAGACCGTAATGCCTCAGAGCAAAGGTTTATGGGAAAAATGTGCACCCTGAGTAATTCATGTTTGTGTCTTTACTTTCATAAATCTCTTTGTCACTGGACATCAGCATAACTGATGCTCACTGACTGTCACTTTAATGAGCTCTCGCGGGAACACTCTGGCTCCCAGGTTGACTTTTCTGCACCTCATCATATCTAATATTGTCACAAATGAGAGTTATTATGACAAGGTTGTGTTTAAAGACATGCGACAGCACGGTTTCAGCTCCCAGCTCGTCACACGTCCACACGCCAGACGAGCGTCATTCATCAGTGTGGAGAGCGATTTGGACTCAAACCACAACTGCTGGTGAAACCTCACCAAGTGTCTTTTAGAGCAGTAAAGCAGCCACATGCTAGTTTGTAGCAGCACCCTTAGACTGAGCCTTTCAGTGCACAAACCTAACCAAGTAAATCTAAGAACATCATCCTCACCACTTCTGCATCCCTGCATAACACTTACCGAGTGCTCCTCAGTCCTTCAGTCCAACCACATCGGCTTCATTCATGGACTGTCAGGAAGCATCGCACAATGATGTTCAATGACATCCAATCAAAATCCCAGAATTTCACTGTGCACCACAACTGGAGGTCAGCCTTCTAGTTCGATAACCTCCCGGCCAGAGCAGCAGACAGCTAACAGCTACAGCTGCCTGTGCCACCATGCACCTGCCAATCAAACAGGCCACACCCCTACAAATGCATTCAAACAGGTGAGTCCTGACTCACTGCTGGAGCTTCAGCTATGCGGCTGATTTTCTGTCAGCTGAGGATGAATTTAATACGAGGCTCAGCAGAAATGCCTTGAAAAGCAGAAGTGAAGGTTAATAATCACACTCATCATGTTGCAAATCATTTTTCAAGTTCAAGGTTTTCTTCTCAGACGTAGAAACCACTGAAGAAGAGTCTACTTAACATAAATACCGTCTTAAATTCATCTCCTCACCTGCAATGAAAAGCGCTTGAACTATTTAGAGGCCATTTTTTAAAATCACTTATTCGCCGACTGCAGCGCATATACATCTGTAAATTTTAAAGAAAAAAACTTCCCGAGTGAAAGAAAACGAAGGGAACCCCGGCGCTGCAGCAGGGATGGAGGGAGGCTGCTGAGGTTAGAGGTGCAGCTGCTGCAGAGTGGAAGCAAGTGAGCGCCAGGCAGCCAAAGGAGGGGGAGGAAGACAATCTGTGTGTTTGGGGACTTGAGATGATAGCGTGGGAGAAGGTGAAGGCTTGTTGTTCGCTGGGACCGAGGGAGAGGAGCGGGTGGGGTTGGGGGGGAGGCGAAGAGGAGGAGGAAGAAGAAAAGAATGAGCCGAGAGAGAGAAATGTAGGGAGGAGAGGTTGTATTGGTGGTGTACTGGGAGTAAGAAAGAGGAGGAATAACAAGCTTCAGCCTACTTATGTACAGTACAGAGTGTGTGTGTGTGTGTGTGTGTGTGTGTGTGATACTCGGGTCTTTGGAACAGGATGACAAATGTGCCAGACATGAAAGACCAGAGCACACACAAACCCACAGGGAGCCTCTTTACCTGCGCGCGCGCACACACACACACACACACACACACACACACACACACACACACAGCAGTAGCTTCAGGGGATAAACACACACACACACACACACACAGTGTGTATTGCTGTGTTCGTAAGACTAGATTCGGCTCCTCATTGTTAAACCAGCACAGGGCTTTACAATCACACCTCCCCTCATTACCCACAGTCATAGACAAAAATCTGCTAATCAATATTTCCTCAAACTGAAATCAGATTCATACCTGTGAGGTGACGTGTGCTGCTCACTGAGACAAATCCACGGAGGTGTGTCACCTGATTCAGCAGGAAGTCCCCTCAGCTTAGAGGGGATTTTTTCATCTTTACGATAAAAACTTGTCAGTAAAATCCACACAAACACTGCACATTTACACTTTTACAATTAAATATAAAAAATATGATATCCTGTAAGAATGTCTGTTGCACCTTATATTTCAGCTCAGTAAATATGTGATGGGTAATACACAGTATTGTATTACACATTTTTCATCACTAAATGTGTTACATCTTACTTTCGTGTTACTTAATTGCTAGCTGGACAAAGTCCTTCGTTACATTACTCGTTACATTACTTTCTCGGTAAAATGTCCTGAAACTTATTGTAATAATCACCACTGAACGATATAAGCTAAGGCTACAGCCCCACACACGCACACATCCCCACCCTAACGAGGACACAGGTGATCCTTCTCTTAGCATTTAGGTGTGAACACAAAGAAAAGATGAAACCAACACAAAGACACTTTGAAGGCGT